CTACACTCCACTGTTTTACTATGAACAGTTGGTTTGCCAAGTATAATCAGCCTTCCATAGCTACAGGCTCCACATCTGTGGATTTAATCAACAGTGCATGTGTACTAATCATGTACAGAGTCATTTCCTTCTTGTCATTATTCCCTAAACAATATGGCATACATACTTACATAGAATTTACATTACATTAGGTATGATAAGCAATCTAGAGATGATTTAAAGCATATAGGCAGATGTGCATAGGGTATATGCAAGTATTATACCAGGTTACGTAAAAGACCTAAGTACCCAAGGATTTAGGTTTCCATGGAGGGTCCTGGAACCAATCTCCTGCATACAAAATAACTGTATTATTCAAAGTATGGTGAAGTTTAAGCAAGGTACTCCAAAGGATCTGGATCTTCTGAGGGTTCTGTCCCCTGGACCAACTGCCCTTGTGCCATTTCTCTCTCTCCCTTTTTAGTAAACTTAACTTTTTAGAACACTTTCACAGCAAAACTAAGCAGGTACAGTTTCCATATACTCCTGTCTCCACACAACTTCCCCTAACATCATCATACCACCATAAATATAATCAACAAACACAGATTGACATATCATTAATTACCCAAAGTCTTGGCTTATATTAGGGTTCATTCTTAGTGTTGAACAGTCTATGGATTTTTACAAATGCCTAACAGATATGTACTTTTATGGTATCATATAGAAATGTTTCACTATCCAAAAAATCATGTGTCCTCTACCTATTCATCCTTCCAAAATCTCTAACCTCTGGCAACCACTAATCTTTTTTTACTTTCCATTGTTTTGCCTTTTCCAGAATGTCATATAGTTGGAATCATACAGAATATATCCTTTTCAGATTGGCTTCTTTCACTTAGTGATATGCATTTTAAGTTTCCTTGTCTTTTCATAGCTTGGTGGGCCATTTCTTTTTTAGGGCTGAATTATAGTTTATTTTCTGGATGTACAACCATTTATTTATCCATTCATCTACTGAAAGACATCTTGATTGGTTCTAAAATTTGGCAATTATGAACTTAGCAGCTATAAAGATACATGTTCAGGGGTTTTTCATAGAAATAAATTTTCAACTCCTTGGCATAAATATCAAGGACCATCATTGCTAGATTGTATGGTAAGAGTATGTTTAGGTTTATGAGAAATTGCCACTGTCTTCTAAATGACTGAACGATTTTTCATTCCTACCAGTAGTGAATTGGAGAGTTCCTGTTCCTCCATATCCTCACCAGCACTTGATAGCATCAGTGTGTTGGATTTTGGCCTTTGGAATAAGTGTGCAGGGGCATCTTACTGTTGTTTCAATTTGTAATTCTACAATGATATAAGATATGAAACATCTTGTCATATGCTTCTTTGTCATGTTCTGAATATCTTTGGTGAGGTGTTTGTTCAGATAGTTTGCCCGGTTTTTAATGGGATGATTTATTTTCTTGTTGAGTTTAAACAGTTCTTTGTATATTTTGGATACAAGTCTTTAATCAGATATATCTTTGGCAAATATTTTCTCCTAGTGTGTGACTTGTCTTCTTAGTCTTTTGGTTTCACTTTCTTGTTTTGGTTTATGTTTCTCATCTCTTCCCTCTTTTTTTCTCTTTTAAATGTAAAGAGACATATTTTAAACATGGAAGCATTTAGAAAGTCCTGATTTGGAGGAGGGAAACTAAGAGATGACAACTAAAAGACTAAAGCACCTAGTGTGGAGCAGATCCACTCTTTTTCACACTTAAAACAAAACAAAAGCTCACAATGCCATAATCAATTGAATCAAAGGTAATCTGTATTCATTATTAGGACAATTCCCAAAAGGGATAGTAAAGGCTAAGATTCTAAGCGGGAAAAAAATCTAGCCACTTCATCAAGGAAAATAATGATAAATCATTTTTAAATTAAAATAACTGATATAAGATAGATCTTTGAAAGTACAGATGATATTTGGGTAGGAAATGGAGAGTAGTTATTATCTTGGGAGGTAAGAAATTTAGACGCAATAAAGGATATCCAAAGTTATGAAGATAAATAGTGCTGAAGTCTCTGAGGCCTTCCCCTCTGGCCTAGAAGAAACACTTCCCTTATGAAAGTTGAGACAAAGCCACAACATGTCTAGCTAAAGCCACAAGTTGGGTTAGGAGGGGAGGCGCCAACAGCACATTTCAAAGGGCATATTCAGTGGTGATGTTTCACCAATGACCCCATATTTGCACACGATGTTTTCCAATCATTCTGCTAAACCTCAAGAAATTCCTCTTAAAAAGGAACTGCTTTCTTCAGAAAAAAGCAGAGGAAATAGAAATGTAAAGAACTTAAAAAAAAAAATCCCTGTGCAAGCACATCACACAAATCTAAATGAACCATGATTCTAGAATTTAGTTCCCCAATTCCATTTTGTCCTCCTTCCTAGTTAAGTAGAAAACCAAACTTGGATCCCAGTAAAATGTAAAGGTTGTGTCTCTTTAAAAACAAGCAAGATTTTTCTTGCTCTCTCAAAACCAACATGAAAAAGGAAAAGAAGGCTCTTGTGAAACTCCCTTTACATTTGGTAGTTAATGGTAACTTATGACTATGTTTTTAACTTTTTGTTGAATCATTTGGTGCCCTCCTCCCCCACTCCTTAGTTTCCAGGGTCAACCGGCAACCTTTTATAAATCATGAGACTGGATTTGCTATGTTTGGTCCTGATCCAGCTACTTTATTATTCTTGCTGTTGTCCACTATAGTTCTGTAGACACACCAGATAAAGCAGAGAAACAAAACCAGGAGATTATTCCCAGACTGTTTGCCAACTGATTTTAAACTGTTGCTCTCTCCCAGTACACAAAATCATGAAAGGTCTTTTATTCATAATTCTTTTCAAATAGAAATACTGGGATAGAGGAGGATATTTGGTTCTGTCAATTTCATTTGTTCTTCCTTTGCCTCAGTTTCCTAATCTATGTAATAGTGTTGTTTAGAACAAAAGTTTCTTTTTCTCTTTAATTCAGTTTACTGCCTTGGATATTCTTCTATCATTTCATCCTAACATAGAAAGAACTAAGGAATAAAATTTACCCTTGTAATTTTAGCCCTTGTTTTGTACTAAGCTCCTACATTAGGCTCCAACAGATGAAGACTAGAAATCAAAATGGAGTCACTCACATTGAAGTACCATGTCACCATATAGAAACTAAGTTATTTATTTAAACTTTTGAGAAATCAGGATTATAGAAATAACAAATTTCCCAAATAGTCCAGTTCCAGTTGGCATGATAATGAAGTTCCTTTCCTTTTCTTTACACAAAAAGGTAACCTGACGTTAACCAACTGGTTATTTTTCTATTTTTCTGTCTGTAGTTGCTGCTGTACAAGAAAAGAAACTTGAAAATGACAATCTGCTTTTTGTTTCTTGTTTCTGCTTTCTTCAGCTTTTTCTCTTGCTTATTTCTTTTTTCTATCTGTAAGATTAGCCTCCTATACTGGGTTCATCAGAACTTACTCTATCTTATGGAATGAAGTGTCGCTCAATACTAGAATCAAAAATAATGCGAATTATGACCTTCAAATTAACTTGTGCTTTTGTCCTTTGACAGACTTATACACATACAATTATTTATAATCCTCCAGAGCTTGCTTCAGAATTCCTTGGTCTTCCATTAGTAATGTCTCAAGAAATCTATGAAACTAGGGAGCTGGGGGCAGTAGTTAATTTTGAGGAATTAACTAGATTCGATTTTTACTAACAAAAGCCAGTTTTCACAGTGAACCCCACAGAGTTGTCTGGATAGGTGACACCAACCCAGAGAATTTAAATAAACTGCAAGTCATATGGCTGCCTACTCTTAAAACTCACCAGAACTGGAACCCAACTCTGCTCACACTCATTGAACACATTTCATTTTGACTGGAATTTCAGAATACCCAAGAAGACTCTGGACTAGGTTTCTTTTCATCCTAGGATATTCTTGAAATTTGGACATACTGAGCTGTTTCTCAGGGATCTGGATGATAAACATTCTATAGAGACTTTTACATACTTGACTCCCTCCTAGAGGCCAGCCAAATCCCCAAGAACCTCAGATTCAACTTACTTTATTCTGGGATGACCTAGGCCTGAGCTGAGCTGACACGGGAACCTTGTAGGGCACAGCCACAACTCTGAGTAAACCAGGACAGTGGGGTGGGAGAAGGTTAAGGATCAGCCATTTGTCCTGAGGGCCATCAGTTGCAACAGTGCAGGTCAGTGTCCTCTCCCATCAGTTTTCAATGAAACCTCTTCAAAATATGAGAATTTGCGGTTTATTCTTAAATGAGTATTTTTCATTTTGCTGCAAAATAAGGACTCATTATAAGTTCCTTGCCAGTAATCACAAATCAGCCCAGTGTGCGTATGAATTTTTTTTCTCCAAGTCTGCACAAGAGTGGAACAATTTGCTTTACCAGTGTGGGATGTTTGAAATACAAATCTGCTAAGAGGGTTCATTGGAACTGGTTTGGGACTGGGCAGGGCCGGTGCTCACCTCTCCAGGGAGGTGAGAAGACTGGCTAGTCAGGCACGCCCTTAGGCGAGGTCCGTGAAAGATAAAGTCAGATCACAAGAATGGACAGCTTTAAACATTTCTGTGCTGTACTGCGCCAGTTCGCCAAGAAATGGGAAAATGGAGATTCCGATGGTCTTTGGGCTCAGGATGGGGGCAGCGTGCAAGGAAGAAGGCGGCCTTGGGGCTACCAGAGGTTAACTAACCTATTGTTCGCGGCCAACTAGCAAAGTTCACCGATTTTGCCACCAACCTACAACATTGGCCCAGGAAGTAAACTAGTTGGAAGCGAATTCAAAACCGGAAAATCCAGGCTGCTCACACAGAGCCTCCCCCGCGCGGGAGGAGCTGGCGCAGTGCCCGGCCCCGCCTCTCACCCTCCGGCCCCGCCCACCTCCCCATCCTGCCACGCCCCTCCGGACCTGAGGCCCCGCCCCGCCCCGAGCCCGAGCCGTCAGGCTGCGCGAGGCGAGCCGCAGTAGCCTGCTCTGCTGCCCGCTGCCGCTGCGTCGCGCAGGAGCCCGGCAGAGGAGGCTGCAGCCGCCATCCGCAGCCCGCGCCTCAGTCCGTCGTCGCCGCCGCCCTCCCGCCCGCCCAGGGCGCTCCAGGTCGCACCATGGTGAAGGTCACGTTCAACTCGGCTCTGGCCCAGAAAGAGGCCAAAAAGGACGAGCCCAAGAGCGGCGAGGAGGCGCTCATCATCCCCCACGACGCGGTCGCCGTGGACTGCAAGGTCCGAGCCCGGAGGTCGGGGTGCGGTGGGTGGGGGCTGGGCTCGCGGGGCTGCACAGAGGGGACAGGGTTCCCGGGAGGGGGCTCCGCGCCCCGCTCCTTTGTACCGAGGTGCCGGGTGCAGGAAGCGGTGCTCACCGCGGGGTCTGGGTTTGGGGGTCCCCGAGGGGAGCCTCTGAAAGTCGCGGCCAGGTCCCTGTCGCCCGTGCAGTGCAGCCCCGTGGGGTGCGTGGGGCCGGGACCGAGTTCCTTCTACCTGGGGACCCGCAGGGACAGGCAAAACGACAACAACCGAGTTTAGCACTTCCTTCCCAGGATAAATAATGTGCCTAAAATGGCTGACATCATTACAAGCCTAAACCTCTGTTGTTTCCTACTTTCGTTTCTAGGCTGAACAGCCCTTGGACTAAGTCCAGCAGCAGGACTTAATTGTCAGAGCTTTTTTTTTTTTCCTTTCTTCTTTTACTTCCTTTTTCCACGGCCCTTCTGTATTGGCAGGTGAACTTTACCGTGGGGTCTTGGCGGAAGGGAGAAAGGGGCAACAGTCTGGTTGGAGTAGGTTCTGACTCTCGCTTTCATAATGGAAGCAAATATTCCCCAGTAAAATTCAGTAACTGCTATTTTGGATGTTAGCGTATAGCCAGCAGATATAAAAAGTTAAATTCTGTTGTGTGTGTGTGTGTGTGGACTCCTTCAGTAAAACCAAAGAAAAAATTTAGCTCCCCACACCCTGTCCCTATAAAATTCTCCTTCGTTTTACAAAATCCCCCTTTATCACTAAGCAAAATATCCTAAGTGCAGGAGCTATTGTGTTAAACTTTTGGTGGCTACAATAATCCTATAAATGTAAATATAATTGCCTGGGAAGTTTCCTCTTCCCACTAGCTCCCTTTTAGGCTGCAAAAATTCCATCCTGAGGAAATTAACTGTAGAAGTTATGTTTCGTAGCCTACTTTTCCTGTAGCACTTTTCAGGTCTTATTATCACTAGGGTAATCTTAGTTTTAACTTTAAAAGAATCATCTGTGTGCCAACTACAGGTAATAGGAGTTTTTACAGGACCTAATGAAAATTACTACTGAAAAACAGGTCACTATAACAAATTTGAGAACATAATGGTAATTGAACATGCCTATGCATATTTTCTGGAAATGCTCTCCTTAATAACAGAAATGTCAGGGGTTGATTTTTAAAGGACTTTCTGGCCTTGAAATAGAAATAATGAGCTGATTCCCTGACAGGATTAAAGGTTTTGGTTTTGGTATTAGTATTGTTTTCCTGGACCTATTGCATGTAGTCTTGTCTTAAAATGTTGGAATGCACAGATGAAAATCGCAGTAGCAAATTATCTTAACTCTTTGTTTATCTAACATACATTATATCTAAAGTAGATTGTTAGGCTCCACAACCTCAAATATATATTCTTAATGCTAATATATAGATATGTAATTTTTAAATCCTAAAAACAAATAGAACTCCTCCATTTTAAAAAAAGAGAGAAAGAAAATACGGATGATTTCATTTCATACTGCTTTTCTCTGTTCTGGAGTGAGGAGGATTTGAAACTCTGAACAAACAGAATTAAATTTGTTGAGCAGCTTTAAATCTGACTTCACAATTTCTGTCAATTATGAAACAGTGGCTCTGTTTTCAGATTCTTAGACTTTCTCACATGTTCACCATAATGTAAATTTTTTTTGGCCATAGCAACTATAAAAAAAAACCCATATATTGCTCTGTACTTTGCTTTTTATCTTTTATTTTCTCAGATTCCCATATCCAAAGAAAAATCCTAGGTCTAAGCATCCACAGTAAGTCTGTCTTTATAACCACACAGCAGTCAAGAATGAATTGGTAGATCAAACTTAACATTCTTTTAACTGCCGTAAGCTGAAAGGCTTTTTCTTCGGTAGGTGACAAAATATTTCTGTGCAATACAAGTAGAATCTTTATAATCAAGTCACTTAACGGGTAAAGGAAAACCTTGCTTAAAGACAGACATTTGTGAGAGAACTTCTCATCTCTTATCTTAGAGCTTGGCAGTGATTGCATAATGTTCTCTGGCTCCTTTGAGGGTAACCGGGTGGTAACCAGCTTGTCTGACTGCCTGTGCTGGGAACAGAATTAGCCTTAATGTGTTTTCCCTCAGGCATTTTCTTTGCCTGGTTGATTGAGAAGACCAAGCTAGTTATGGTCCAGAACTCCCAAATAAAAAATTTTAATACTTTTAACTGTCTTAGACCAAATATCCATAGACCAGTTTTTTTTTCCAAAATGTGTTCTTGAGAACCACCTGCTCTGGTATCATCTGGAGTTCTGGTTTTAAAATACAGATTCTACTCCTCTATGCCACAAGAATTCTGATCATTATAGTCAGCTGTCTTATATAACATGCATTCCAGTACTTTTACACTGCTCCTATCTTTGCTGTTTTTCTCTCTGCAGGGGAAGAACCCTCTGGAAGCATTGCTCCATGTTGGTTTCAGTCTTGTCTTTTCAGTAGCTGTTAATCCCAGGGTTACATTATCTCAGCTAGCTTGCATTTTTATTTCTCCTGCATATTCTAGTTAACTATTTTCACCTTCCCACACCTGTCCTGATTGTCATAAAGCTCTAGAAGAATAGAAACAGAACAGAATCATAGGATCTGTTTTGTGGAACAAAGGTCATTTTGAAATGACATACATGTTTTATGTTTATAGGCAGCATTCCATTCACTTATTTTGTGTGCCTAGCTTTGAACTTTGGAAAACTGTTTGTGTATGTGAAAATGTCAAAGAAAATACTTCATGCACTGAATCAGAATTCCCAGTTTTGTCATTACATAACTGCTTGATCTCAGGCTTAAATTTTAGTATTCCTGTGTGTCAGATGAGAGGGTAGGACCAGATGGTCTATAAGGACTCTTCCAGCTTTAAAATTCTATGAAGATGCTGGGATTACATAATTATATTTTGGCAAGAATTAAATTGTCTTAATTTGTGAAAAATAACAACTATCTCTTCATCTTAACCAGACTTCCCTTTCTTCCTTTCCATGTTGAGCATGTTATATTCCTCCCTCATACCAAGTAGCAGTGGGCCAAAGAAAAAGGATATATTGCGATATTACATAATAAAGCAAAGTTTCATTTTTGGTTACCTCACTGTAAAACAGACAACATTGTCAAGAACTCTTGTTGCAATGCCTGCTTGTAAAACCCCTTTCCCTATAACAGGACTGGGGAAAGCTTAAGTTCGCTTCATTAGGTATCCCCACAAGCTGTTTTGCTGATACACAGAGTTGCCTTGCCTCTGTGCTACATTGATAGATGTTTTTGAAAGAGAGAAGTGAAATGCTTGCCTAGGAGGGAAAATGAGGCAGACTGGGAGCCTGAGAGAAAGTGAAAGAGTTTTACTTTCACTGAAAAATGGCTATGTGAACCCCAGTTCTTTATTCTGAATTTCTCTATTTGTACAGTCAGGGCAGAGGGTTTGCTAATTTGGCTTTCTGGTTTTTGCTGGGGGGTGAGAGATGGGGTGGGGGTGGAGAAAGGAACATAAAATGCATGAGTGTACATTCACTGAAGTGGGTTGACCTTTAGATTGGTAGCTTGGTTCTCTTTAACCAAAGTGCATCTCATTACTTAGTTATGTAATTTCATGCTCGCAAATATTGCCCAGTAAAACTTTTACAGTCATTACGTTTTGGTCTCCTCAGAGGGCACGGATATCTGAAGTGAGGGTTTAGTGCTGGGAGATGCATGAATGGCCTCTGCATCCCCAGCGCCTTGAAAAGACCTCCTGTGTGCACATCAGTCCATGCTGCTTCCCAGGGTGGGTGAGGTTGCATTTTGTGCAACTGGAGGACAGTTACCTGCCAGACGTCCTCCCAGGATAGTAGTCTTCCCAACTAGACAAGCTATGTGTAATCCTTGGCACTACCATAAGCTGGTAAGACTCATGGACTTCATCTCTGGTGTATAAGAGGTTTGTGTGCATAGCAGTATTTTTTGAACCTGAAACATTTTAAACACATTTATGGACAAATCTTTTCAAGGATGATTTAGCATTTAACTTTTGAAGTATTTGTTATGTATTGCTAAAGCTTGACTTGCGTGTAAATGTCTATAGAAAAATATCCTAAGCAGGAATTGTAGGCCATTTTGTCTTAGTTCTATCATACCATAACTCGGATAACTAGAGTATCTTTTTCTTTTCTGAAAGGAAGTGCTTTCTGAATTTGTGTTTTAACTATAGCTTCTTGAACTGTATAAGATCGTATCAGTCAAGAGAAGATCTGAAAAGAAATGTTTCTTTTTTTTCTTTTTATTATTTTATTGTTTTTGCATTTACTTACATGTGTATATATTATTTGGACCACCTTCCCCCAAAAAATGTTTCTTTTCAAATATAAGACAGGGTGAATTCACTCTTAAACTTTTTGGCAAATATAGAGCTCAAAGACTGAAGGCAACTTTCCCACCAAAGGACTTCAGGCTGCACATTAAATGATTTCACTCCTCAGATCTGAAGGAGGTTGGTTTTGTCTAAATGATGTGGAAAATAGTGAAGCTGTGCTTTTAGTAAGTTTATATTATATGTAGAGATAGTTATTACCAGGCTCTCTTATTTTCTTTGCACAGAACTTAACAAGGAAAGTTTTTTATAAGCTAGGCAGCTAAAGTTAAAAAACAAAAATTATATTACATATATGATCTTGAGGACATCTTTTTTTTAAAAAAAAACTCCATTTAATTGTGATACTCCTCTTAAATCAGTATTTGTGATACATAACCCCCTCCTAGGTAGTTGAGGCTGGCCTCAAACTCTTGATCTTCCCTAGTGGTAGGATTATAGGAGAGAGCCACTACACCTGGACATGATATATATTCTTAATAGCTTAAGAAAATATAACTGTGACAAGAGAAATTAGTGGCAAAATAAAATTTACAGTTTATAAATACTACCACATTTAGGTCTGGAGCCATGGCTCAAGTGGTAGAGTACCTGCCTAGCAAGCA